AATCTCTTGTTAGGACGCTCTTGGAATGCTTTATCACCATACCACCAGTCTTTATGTAGCAGGTTATAGATTTCTATGTTATGTGGTTCCAATTTGTCCTTTTTGACAAACTGTCTATAAATGAGATTTTCTTCAGTATCAAGATAATATTTGGGATTCTGTGTCCATTTTATCATGGAACACCAATTAGATTCGGAAAGAAGTACATAACTTTCTTGTTGTAATAATTTTCTAACTGGTTCAAAGACCATCCAATTTAATCGATATGCTAATTGATTTCGCTTCTCTTCAGCCCAAGTTCTAGCACCATACATGGTATGTCTATATAGTGAATTAAAAAAATCAATTTTCCCGTTAAATTTTATTAGTTTTCTATTAATATAATAATAACTCTCATCATGAGGAATAATATCTAAATATTTCCATCTCTCAGGAGTGTCATCATTCCTCACTGCTTCCCAGACTCATTTTGCCAAAGATTCGGGTCTCTTTTTATAATTCCTGTAAGCTCGCTGGATAACTACTGCATAGAAATTCTCAAACTTATAGTTATATCATTTCGCAATCGAGAATCTCCAAGATTGTTTCATTGATCTTCCTAAACTCCTTAAAAAAAACTTCGTTATAGATTAGAGGGTCTAGCCCATGATGGCAGATCACAATATTTTACTCGCATAAGTGTGACAGACAAATTGGTCCACTAAGCGATCATGCTATTCATTTTGCAAAAAATAAATTATATTATGGATAAGTTGTAAGCTTTAGCTTACTAAATATAGTTGAGATAAATGACTATATTTGGTTAAACAATCATAATTTCTACCCCATCTCTCAATCTTAATACGATATCTTTTGGTAGATTAAGATGAGATGGTACTAAATTAATTTGTTTTGCAAACAGAGACGAGATAAATAATTTGTTTGTATTTCTCTTCCCGGGTCTATTAGTATTAATTATGTTGGGCGCACTTATACTACATGGTATAGAAGAAGTTGCTTCCTTGGGACTAATTAACAAATGTGATTTATCCGGTCCCAAAAAGACCTCTTCACTCTTAGCTTTGGAGTATTCATTATCCCAATGATATTTCATCAAGTCTTCGGGTTTGACTTCATAGCTATATCTGCGCCATCCACTAAAATACGTTTTTTTTGGTTTTATATCTGTAATCTTTATCAATTTTCAGCAATCGAAGCAAATAGCCATTTGACTTTTATGAATTCTAGGCCTGTAGTACCCATTATCTGTCTCTATACATTCGCCAAACCCTGTATAAAGACAGTGCACATGATAAATACTCCAAATTTCTCGGCTAACAGCGTTTGCATAATACCTCTTACTCGAACAGCCCATTGCTGTGGAGTTTCATGTGATCTAATAATGAAGAAATAATCATATATTTTTTCTATTTTGATTATTTTTTCAAGATCAGTATCACTTCTATGATTTCTCATATATGCGCTAACATATTTCATATCATATCCAGGACGATTATTAACGGGTTTAGGTATAATATTATTATATCTCTCATCTAGAATAATAGAAATATCAAACATATTTGATGGTTTTATCAACTTATACTATTAGAAATATCGGATTCATTTTTCTGGGCATGAGAAAAAATAATGCGAACATATATGCCCTATTCTTTTGGCAAAACTTCATTTATTTTTAAAAATGTACATTATATATTCATAACGCAATAAAAATATATTACATTTCTACCAATTATTTATAAATCTGAAAACAAATCTTCTGCTCTCAACCCATGCCTAGCACGTACCAAAGAAATATGACCTCTTCTACAATCCGTTGATGGAGGAGGAATTGTTATTTGCTTTTTTTTCGGTTTAAAAAACATAGTTTTGGAATTTAATCCTTGAGCATCGTTGATATTTTGATGTTTAATAAAAAGAACATTATCTCCATCAGCATTTTTTTCATTCCCATCCTTCAAATCATCGTATACGTTATCGAATTTTCGTAGATTATGAAAAAAGGTATTATGTACAAAGTATACAATGCTATGACGAATACCTTTTGTAAGTGGGAAATTATCATGGAGTAGAAGATGTGAGGAAAATGCTACAACTTGTCCAGGCCGAAGTGGTACAACGATCTGGAGTTGAGGGAAACATAATTCTCCTCCCTCAAATTCTCCGAGAGCGACCAAACAGCATAAACTATTTGGTTCGTCATGTTTGTCCCAATGGTAATCGCTAGTTGTATTGTAGTTAATAGCAATCATTGGGAATATTCCAAAAGGTCGAGGTGCAAAGGGTCCCCACACCAACTTCTCTAGTTTTTCATATAAATTTCCATAGAATTCTCGTACAAATTCATTAACAGAAGTTGATAGTGGGACAAGAGTGCGGAGTAAGGTGTTGACACATTCTCAATGCGCGATATTATGGGCACTTGCAGTATTCGAACTCGTAAATGGGAGGAGGTTATTTCGTATATATGCACCAAAATGTTCTATAAAATTCTTCCAGAATTCACTACTACGATGGGAGGGGTTATTTAAGGTATGAAAGTAATAATTGTTTACTGCATTAGTTGCTTGCACGACTGCCCCTAGGTTATTGAGTAATGCCAGATGTATTAAGGTTCGCCCATCTATGTCAGTAACACATTCTGGCTTTACAATATACCGAAACTGCACTAATTCTTTTAGTGATTGAAGATTACCACGTGCAGAAATTATCATTTGGGCTTTTTCTTTCCGAGAAATATATGAAGTTACTGAAGAATCTTTATGATTTCGAAATTCTATGGCATGTTTAAGTTTTTTCCATTTACGTCGAAGATGTTGGCGCACATTTCTTCTTGTAAGTGGTTCTTCCATCCCCAACCATTGTCCAAGAGAAAGCCATAATTGTTCATTCAGATCTTTGGTTTTAGACTTAATACAATTGGCTTTAATTATTTCATTATTAATAAGCATTAGAAAATCGGGTGGGTGACTTAATATTATTTACTAATACAGCTTCTCGAATTAATGTTTCTATTAATAATTCTTCCGCTGAAACCTTTTCTTGGCTCTTTACTCCTTTTAACGACACTATGCAATCAGACGGACAAAGAGAGACACTCTTCCACTCTTTTTCGATATAAAATATTTTGTCTTGTATATATAACCCCCGAGTCGCATGTTGGGTTTGATGCTAATAATTAATATCACAAAAAATAAAATTATTATTAAGCTTATCAATAGGTTTAGATGAGTTTTTTAGATCTACCCTCTTCTGCCTAATATTTTTGCGGACTGGACCAACCACCCTAATTAATTATTGGGTTATTAAAATAATAACCGTGTGTCTGTTGAACCACAAATATACACAGTAGAGGCCCTATCATTCTAATAGTAGAAATGAAATTTTTTGCGTAACTGAGTATATTCAATAATAGCTTGGAAAGGCCGACCGATCAACACGAAAACAATACTAGCAGTTAGGAAAGACCTCGATAATTATAAATAATATCTACCCGGTTTGGATCAAAAGTAATATCATTAATTGTTAATGCTATAGTTGGTGGGGTTGAAATTTGTTCTTTTTCAAGCCTACATTTTTTATTATAACGAGCATGACGTGATAACTTTTTGACTGGTTTCTCTTGGGACATGACAATAAGATCAGAAATTTCATTTTTACGTTTCTCAATAGATGCTTGCATTGTTTATAAGATTTTAAAAAACGTTCTCGATATGTTGCTAACGGGTGAAAATTTTTAGCGATATATAGCGAAGCTTACAATATTATGAAAAATAAATTATGGGCATCTATATTGGGGTGTAACCCTTTTATTAGAAAATAAGATTATATCTTTAAATATATTTTCTTCTAACGCGTGTCAATCTATAAATTTGCCAAATATTTTATCAGCATACATAACTCGGCAATTTAACATTTACAATAATTCAACATAGCAGTGCTAGCAAACAATCGCATGTCGCATCACAATAATTTAACATGATAATTACTA